GACATGACTTTGAAGACAGATGTGATCAGGTGGAAAGTGCAGAAAGCTGACTGATGTCGATCTGTCGCTGCATTAAATGTTGGTCTGTCCTGTATTAGGCATTCAGGATATTCTTTTGATGGCCCTTTAGCTCTTATGGCATGAACTTGCTCAGTGCATTATTATTTGCTTTTCTACAGTCTGATATTTGTTTAATAATTGATTGATACAGTTTGTTGAATAAGTGCATAAATAAGATGCTAAAAACCTCCTCATCATATCAAACATGATAGATTTGGGGGGAGTTTGTTTGACACATGCTGACCGCATTCTAATTATAACCAGAACAGGAGGCGAGAGCAGAGAACAAGAGTGCAGCAGTTTGGTGAAAGGAACAGGAAAGGTGAAGAAGAGGTGAGCATCCAAAAGACGAGCAAGAGCACGGTATCAAAGGAGACCTTATGGCACAATAAAAGCTGTGAGAGCAGAGATTCATTCATATTTTTACTATTTTTTCTTTAGCTTTTAGTCCCGCTGCTTACAATAAATCAAATATAAAGAACAAACAAGAACAACTCAAATTGCATTGATTGTTTAGTTCAGTATCACTCTGTGATTGTTTGACATTTCATGTAACTGCGACTATGAAATTTAGTCAATAATATTAAAAAGGTGCTGTTACTGAGTGAAACTTCCAAAGATTTCAGGTCTGGATTTAGCCCCAGTGTTTTAAGGTCCTAGCAACGCTCGTATTTATGGCCACATTTTTAAAGATATGAGCTTTCTGGGTGCTGATTCAGGGGGACCACTTTAGTTCATTGAAACTTTAATGCCAGTTTAGTTTAAGACATTAAACTGGGCGTGTTTTGAATCCAATTTATAATAACAGAGCTAAGCTGGACACAAGCAACTGTGTTAGTGTGACGCCCTGTCATAATAGTGTTATTATTGTGGATGTGTGTTTGATCAGTTGAAGTCTTTGTTGTGGAGTCTGACAGCATTAGGGAGGAAAGGCCTGTGAAATCTCTCCGTCCCACACCGTGGTTGCCGCAGCCACTGAAGGAGCTGCTCAGTGCTGTCAGAGTCTCCTGCATGGGGTGGGAGATGTTGTACAACAGGGATGACAGCTTAGCCACCATTCTACTGTCACTCACCACCTCCACTGGGTCCAGAGGGCATTGTAGAACAGAGCTGGCCCTTCTGATCAGCCTGTTCAGTCTCTTCCTGTCCCCAGCAGAGATGCTGCTGCGGACCACACCGTAAAAGATGGCTGAGGCCACCACAGAGTCATAGAAGGTCATGCGCGTCTCATTCATTTTTTGAGAATCTGCCCACTTTTAGTTTTCATGGAAAATAACACGTCTTATTGATGACATGACATCATTTCAAATAACTTTTTCAGGTCAGTAAATAACTGCCACATAAGTATAAATCTAAATCATGCATGTGTATTATAAAAAAAAAAGCAAAAACAGTTGTGCTGTTTGTTCATAATAAATGGGTAGGGGTGCATAGTCCTCTGCCACAGACAGAAGCACCACAAATGTGCGCTGGGAGCTTCATGGCATGGAGTTCTACAGCCAAACAAATCTATATGTATGTGGCAAGAACCTTAGTCCATGTAGGGTATCTTATCACAGTTTACTTGGGTCAGTTAGGTCAGCTAGTGGGAGGGCAGAGAGGGCAGCGTTAGGTCAGCTAGTGAGAGGGCAGAGAGGGCAGCCTTTACATTATTTTATTGTAGAGTGACAGGAACTGCCTATGAGCTTCTAATCAGGCAGAAATATTGACAGAAAATATATCAAAGGAAATACATTGATGAAAACAAAAGAAGAGAAATATTTATGTGATGTTCCATTTTCCTGAGAACTGATTGGCTGTGATGACTCCTTCAAGTACTACGTGCTACTCTGTCCCGCTAGTTGAGGCTGCTGTCTGTTCTCAGGCCGCACTTTCAGTTTTTCTTAATTCATTTTCTAATTACACATTGTCAACACGTGAACATTCCCAAGTGTGTTTTGGCGTCTCAGTCGTGTGCTTTAAAACTCCCACTTTGCTGGCCAGCGGGCCAAGCTGCAGCTTTAGCTTTAGCCTAGCCTTCCGGCTAGTGTTTCCTGTGGGGGAGCTGGAGGGCCGGGCTCGAATTCCCGGCGTGGCAACAATATAAATTTTTCATTTCATTCAATTCATTTTCTAATCACATATTGTCAACATGTGAACATTCCCAAGTGTGTATTCCCAAGTGTGCTTTGGCTCCCACTTCACCGGCTGGCTAAGCTTTAGCTTTGATCGTAGCAGTTTGTCTTCTAATCAGAAGGTTCCCGGTTAGAGCCCCGGCTCTGACAGTCTCGGTCGTTGTGTCCTTGGGCAAGAGACTTCACCCGTTGCCTACTGGTGGTGGTCAGAGGGCCCGGTGGCGCCGGTGTCCGGCAGCTTCGCCTCTGTCAGTGTGCCCCAGGGCAGCTGTGGCTAGAATGTAGCTTGCCATTCCCCAACTCTCTTTCGATAGTACTCATAGCCGTTGATCAGCGGTCATGAGACTTTACATTTTAATGATCTAGGAACTGACCTCCCAGTCCATTGTTCATTCAGTGGTGCTAGTTTCAGTCATATTGCAGATGTACATATGTACTCATAACTCCACCTTACAGCTGACTGTTGTAGCAGGTAATCATTGACATTCAGCTCATGTGGATTTAATGATGATGGCAGTGAGGAGGATATCTCATCCAACAGTTGGAAGCTGCTTGGTCACCTCAAAGATCACACTCTCCACATTTTACATCTTATACTTTTGTCCTTGTTGTTGTTGGTGATATATTAACCTGCTCTGTTGCTTTTCTGTATATAAAACATCTGTTGCTCTGAGGAAGAGTTTTGGCTGCATTGTTGGGTTCTTCTGGCAGTGTTTGACTTTAACTTCCACTTGACTGATGGCCTTTCTTCACAAAGTATCCTCCTCACTGCATGAGCTCAGAAGTTAATAGTTAATAGTAGAAGTTAAACATGTAGACAAAGTTACAATTGAATGCTGCTGAAACTGCAGCAGCACTGTTCTGTACTGGGAATGAGTTTCGTAGCAGTTGTTGACGTATGATATATGACTCTACATTCTTAGTGTTACTTTCTGTACTCAGGTTTAACTTCAAATTTTATTGTAATGTTTCTGTTTTTCTCACATGAACTTCTAACATCAGCAGTTGTGTAGCAGGAGTCTGGAGGAGGATATGTCTTCCTAAAACTTTGTTCATTACGTGCTCAAATTTTCAGTGCTGGGATGGCACCAGTTAACTCATTGTGCTGAAGGACTAATCTAAGTTGTCTAACTCTGACTATATGCCAGTACATCAGTGATCAGAGCACCGCTTTAACTGTTCTAACCTGCAGTGACTCTACTTTATGTCACAATCAGATAATTGAGGCCATAAAATAAGGAAAGCGTTACATGATTTTCAGTGAACTCAAGTCTTACAGTAGCTTATTTTACTGACTATTCATGCATGAACAAGTTCCTGTGCAGTTTTACAAAGAGTACAATTATCTAAAATTCCAGGCACAGTAACATTTATTCTACAATGTTGTGGCTTAACTTGACTTGATCCCATGCCCGAATCAACTCTGTGCTCAGTTGTTGTAATGCTAACTTAACTGTCAGTGTTTTACTTTGATCTGTGTTGCCACAGGAGCAGGAACATTAGAAGCTGCTGGAGTAACTGCTGTTGTTGACAGGCAGGAGTCTCATGTTCTTCTCTGTCTTCCTGTGGATTCAGTGAGCAGGTCTGTTACATTATTGTTTGTGAGATACAGTTTGATTTTAACAGTTTATGAATGTCATTATTTTGTTCAACATTAATTGTCCCAACCAGAAAAAAGAGGATGTCCAAGGAACCTGTTAAATCTGAAGACAGAGCAAACAATAGAGAACAGGTGAAAACAGTCACATCAGTGTTGTACAAATAACCAACATTGTGGTTTTAAACTTCCTGTTGGACTCACAAATCCTTCTTTGCTGTTGTTCTTTAACTCAAATACATTTGATCACATTTGTAGCTGAGAACTTTTTTCCTATACAGTGTTTAGCTGATCAGAGACAGCCAGAGGAGCAGGATGATCTTCAGTATACCAGCATCCACTTCTCCAATAACCAGGCGGATCCTCTCTACTCCAACATCAGAGCAGCTCAGCCTCACAGACACATGCAGGAACAGGAAGTTACTGAGTACACTGCTGTTAGATTTAACAGAGGCAGTGCAGCCAAGAGGTGAGAGAGATTGTCCTCTCATGTCTAAGAAACAAACTCACTGCCTTTACTGTTCTTTTTCACCATTAATGGAAATGATTTCAGTTGATGCTACATCCTCCAAATCATGAAAAGCTCTTCTCTGTTTTCAGAGACAGAAGTCAGGAAACAGGAGAGTCTCCATGTGCACTGTTC